CCGCCGAAACGTCAGCTTAATCGTGAACAAAGAATAGTAACACCTCGCGTTTGCTCAACAAAAATACGAAGAAAATCTTTGACGAGAGTAATGACAGTAGTTGGAGTAAATCTCACATAGTAATAGCTTTATGACGATTTTGAGCACAAGAAGAGCTAAAACCCAATATCAAACACTGGAAGAATCACCGACGATTCATAGCGAAAAACACAGCGTCATTTATGGTGGGAAAGAAATTGTCCTTGCTTATCGTCGGGTGAAGCCCGGTTTTAGCGAGGAGCTCTCGTACAGCACCTTGAACTCAAAAACTCGTAAAGCAATTGAAAATTCGTTGAATCCACCAGAAACGATGATAAGACTTTGAACTGACCTCTTGCTGAAGCAAATGAAACGTGAATCGATTTCTCCTGCAGATTACTGTAAATCTAAATTACGTCGGTCAATTTGAGCACATATATTGCGCCAAACCTCCTCCAAAGATTCTTTGAAGAGAGCTTCACCTCTTTTAAACAGTTTACACCCATCATGTCGATATACACAATTCCAGAGCAGTCGATAATTAGACACTTCTCCGTTGAATGACGTTTAGGAGTTTTGCCTCTTTCCTAAGCAGCAATAACTGGATGATAGATAGCAATGAGCCGACAGCTGCTGAAAGCCACTGACCGTTGTAATGTGTGAAGGAGATTCATTACTTGATGGGGAATCGTGATCGACACGAAGCAAATCACTTGTCACGGTATCGATCATTCCACAAAATCGTTCAACGTTAGTAAATAGTAATGGAGCGTCGAAACGAGCGATACAGAGATCCTGGAGAGTGCTCATTGATAAGATGAAATATTTCTTCCAGAATGATTTCACGTTGTAACGCCATTTCAGTGAAGGTTACGTTCCTGTTTTCAAATTGCGCTTCAAAGCCAGGGATTTTTTCTCACCTAGGACAGACATCTAAGCTGAAAAGCAGTTCAACACTTTTGCACACAAACCCAGTTCATGACAAAGCCTACGATACGGCAAAACTTATCGGCCTACCCATGTGGCGCCCTTTGTGTTTTTCAAGCAAGCGGAACCCACTAAACAGGTTATGCGTGGAGAAGCGGTGTGTCCATCGAATTACTATTTGAAGAAGAAGATTACACAAGCAGATTCAGCAAAAATCTCAACAGAAGGAAGCTGTAATATCTTATCAGAAACTAACCTCAATCAAATGGACTTCTTGATAGCGCTTAATATCTCTGTACTCCGTGGTGCCGTTGAGACGTCCAAGAATTTGCCAGCTGGGCCTTAAGAAACAAATAATGAGTGGAAGCTGTCACTAAACAAGAAGAAAAAGCGTAGAAACGGTGATAACCACTATCACCAGCAGGACCTGGGAATCGACAAAGTGATCAACATTCCCATATTTCGCTCATATTCGTACAAAGGCGACATCCAACGATTTTTTAGATCGCTAGCACAAAAATGTGATTGCTAATTCATGTTATATATTTTTTTACATGACAGGCCTTTCAACCTGCTCCGCAGATTCCGACACTTGAATTCGATTCGTTTCTCCTCAGTCTACGAAGGTCTTTGAACGTTTCTACGTGTGGACTGGGCTGCTCCTTGAGGATTGTTGTTTTCTTCACGTTTGTAGCTGAATGCTGGTTGAGACGGTTTTTCCTGGAGTCTTAGGACGTCTTTAATAGAGCGTTCCCATGTGGATTGGAAAGAGCAAGCCAATGCCAAATGTCTGGTACCAATTTGCTGACCCTGGTTGAGATGCTTATTGAGCCCGGCACGGAATCGAACTAGCGTCACGCTTGCAATGGACGGCATTACTACCACTACATTACCTGCTTCCCGTTACACTCGTATTTGGTGTAAACGCTCTAAGGTTACTTAAACCAAAATAAAGTTATGGACTAAGCAAGGTTTGTAAATAAGGCATGAATAGAACTTTTGAATCCGACCTAAATTTTAGCCTACCATTGCTGGCGAAATACTGTGGTGAGTAGAGCAAATACGATGGCAATTGTCAATCCATCCATTACGTCTATACAAGACGTGGCTAGAAATGCAACAACCCATATCGCCTGCAAGAAAGTAGCGAAAAAATCTTTGAGTCATGTGCCAAGTGACAACAACTAATGTAGAGCGAACCCAATCGATCTTGGAAATCTCCCATAATTTTGGCAGCTGCCCAAATTTTGAAAACATATCTAACAAAGCCACGATGATTACAGACGCAAGAATGCACTAAAATACTAACTGGATAACTGAATAGGTTTGAAGGTGAGAAACAAAGGATAAAGGATGAAGCTCTCGGCGTTGATTAATCCCTGAGGGATGCGCCATGCATTCGACTTCATTAAGCATCGTTTGGAGGTGACTGAATACATATCTGGCCTTTACAATGACTTGCGGTGGGCTACCGTCAAGCCAGTGCTGCTATCCTTTCAGACAAGTCTGGTACCAATTGGATGACCCCGGAAGGATGGAAGGCTTGGTTGGCCGTAGGCGCTGGGATCAATGTGTGTGTAGCACAGCGTCTCCGACCACTGCGCCACACGCGCCCTATAAGGTAAGAAATAAAAGGATTAAGCTTTCAATGGTGATGAATCCGTTAGGGATGTGCCACACTTTCGACATCATTCGCAAAATGGAGTGAACGTATATTTGTCCGTGGCCTAGCGGTATATCAAGTCAGAGTTTTCATTTTCACAGAAAAGTATGGTGCCAGTTCACCTAACCGGGAGGGATAGAAGACTCGGTAAGCTCGGGGTGCGTAATAGAACCAATGACTGCATGTATTACCGAGCATCTCAAAAAATTGAAGAATTACAGATGAAGTTCAGATTCATCTATGGGTTCATTGCTGCAAGCGCATTTTCTACAAATTCATCGAATATGAGATAGTAAAATTAGCTGGCCTCAAAAGAATCCCAACAAGTACCATGTGCAGACTAATCAGAGCTCATTAGATTCCACTATATCGGTGTTTAAGAATGCGTGTGGCGCAGTGGTCGGAGGCACCCTGCAACACACAAATGGAATCGATGGCCGCACCAATGGCCCACCAATAATTTCGTCCCTCCAGGGTCGGAAAATTGGTACCAGACTTGTCTGGGAGGATAGCAGCATTCGCTACATCGGCAGGCCACCGCGTGTCACTACAAGGGCCAGACATTCACTCAATCGCCTCCAACGATGCTTAATAAGTCGAATGTATGGCGCATCCTTCAGCGATTGATCAATGCCGAGAGCTTTATATTTTTATCCTTATATCGATATTTAATCGAAAGTACATAACTATAATTTCAGTGAAGGATAACTGCCTTCAAATAGTCGCATACCAGCTGTGAAAAGCAAGACGAAAGCAACTTAGAAACGAGCAATAGGATTGGAAATAACAAACCATCGGAAGTGTTCGAAGCCACGATCCACCAAATTGGATCACAAACAATATGAACAACGACGAAAAAACAGCGAATAGCTGAAATGAGAAACAAATTGATAAGGAACGAATGTCGGGAAGACGTTAAAGCCTTATGATTGGAACGTGTCATAAAGTCTTGGCGAACCTGAGTCTTTGTGCCGGCCGACGCATTCACTAGCGTACGTGCTAAGGAACAACTGCTCGGAAACACTGGGAAAAGACTAGCAATTACTGAAGTGAATCCAGTGGCAAGGAACTCCTGTAAAAGGTCAAGGTTCTGCTACCCAAGCTGTTAAATGATCTATGAAACACCGACAACACCCACAGTTTCATGTGCACAATTACCCACCTGCTTCGTATCAATCGTGTATTTATAAGTTTTTGCCAGGAGTTTTGCCATTGATATATGAACGGCCATGATAACGACAAATATAGAAATCGCATCTTTGAATAATTGAGGTAGAAGTGTTAGTCGTGGTAGTGACGGTAATGGTACACTGAAATTAGAGAGCAAAACAGAAAACAGTGGGACCATGGATGATGAAAGATTGAAGTCGGTCGTTACCCTGTAGGAATATGTCCAACAACTGCCACCTCATAATCGACATTCAGACTTAACAGAGCGGAGAAAATGGCCCCAAGTATAACCTTAAAGGGATATTGATAAAAACCTAATGATTCTTTATTAATGTGTGGCAAAGGATTCTATGACGGTTCTTCTCCACATTCGTCTACAGCCATGAACTAGTCTCTTTAGCAAAATTTCTCATGTTCTATGCTCGAAGTGAAAACTTTAATCGACATGCACAATTCCCTCAAAATCGACACCTTACACGTTTTCTCCAACTATCTCTACACTTTTATTTTGCCTTATTTCATTCTGTTTTTCTCTACCTGTGTTCTTCTTCCAACTTTCCTTTTTCACCCATTTATTTCGTTCACTCTCTATTCCTCTCTTATTTTGTCTCTATCTCCCTCTAAAAGTCTGTGCATCTTCACTTAGTCTGCATTTGTTTAATTTATGGTGTTTGGCGTTTCTATACTTCTCTGTCTCTGCTTTCAATTCCATTACTATAGCTAAGAATACCCCAAGTGAAACGGCAGTATCGACTGCTAGCTCATTTTAATCAACTACACTAATTGCTAAGTGGAATAAAACTACGGTTCTAAGCGTTTTGAATCCTAAGGGATAAAATAGTCGGAGATAGAACTAACCCGAAACAAAGGCGTCGGGTAATATGGGATGATGCGTTCAACTCTACACAACTGTAGAGATACGAAATTGGTGCAAGGTTTCAATTCTTGGCTATAAAGACGAACGCGGCAATGAGCGACAGTGAGCTACCATGAGCGATAGTGGGCGACAACAAGCGACAACGAGCGTGAAGAAGGCATCGATCAACAATTGCAGTATTCTTGACAGTGCACTAGTTATTGTCACACAGATCCTAAACGAAATTAGCAATACTCACCACAAGCAGTTCGAAAGGAATTAAAACTGGTGAATATTTCTGCACTTGAGGATTAACAAATTTTTTGCCAACAGCTAGAAGCGTGATGGCCATTAAGGACACCATAAGGGTAGCAATATTCGCTCGGTTGATCTCGAACAAGATGTCGAAAGCTCTCTGCAAAAAATAATAGCAGCAAAGAAAGGGTTTTACCATTATTCGACTTCATGAAGTTCTGTTCGTGGAAATGATTGAGGCCTTGCAGCCTATATGATGATCTGCGGTGGCTGCCTGATTTATCCGGTCAATGTTTTTATCCTCCTATTCTGCTTTCATGCTCTAGCACAAATTTACCGACCCGGGAGAGATAGGCGCTTGCTTAACATAAAACACGGGATTGAACCAGTATCAAAGTGCGTTGCCGAGCAGCCTCTAACAACGTTGCTACACGCGTTCAATAATTGTGACGCATGATAAAATGGTCGGTGCTCCCATGAATTAAAAATTTTCGTGGGACATAGATTGCTCAAAAATAAATAAATAATAAAGCTCTCGGCGTTGATCAATCCCTGAGGGATGCGCCATGCATTCGAGTTCATTAAGCATCGTTTGAAGGTGATTGAATGCATATCTGACCTTTACAATGGCTCGTGGTGGCCTATCGCTATATCGAGCCAGTGCTGCTATCCTCCCAGACAGGTCTGGTGCCAATTTGCCGAGCCCGGAGGGATGGAAAGTTTGGTGGGCCGTTGGCGCGGGATTGATTACACGTGTACACCACTGCGCCACACGCACCCAACAATATATTAATGAAATGGCATGGCAATGTGTGGACATGGGCGGTAGATCGCTAAATAAGTACAGATTTTCTTTCCTACTACCATCGACACTCTTCATCGCAACGGAGGAGTTTGAAATTCTGCCAAATTTTTTGACCGCTCATCTTTGTACAGCGCAGTCGTTCATTATTTTAATTCCGTAATTTTATCAAATGGTAGAAAATTGTGGGCCCAAATACATATGTAGCAGTAGCGACGAGCAAAACTGTTGTTCTTTATGGGTCTTTATGTTCTTTTATGTTCTTCAACTGTTCTTCCTTTTTCTTTTTTTTTTGCTTTCGGCCAACTTTTTCTCACCACGACCAAGAGTTGCGTGGGAACTGAGTTTGAACTAAACTTACCAGGATCGCGTTAGCAAAGCCGAAGCGTCTTGGAGTGCCATAGATGCCTGTGATGTCCTTCAGCTGGGTTACAAGCACATGTACGGCAGCACCAGTTGTGAAGCCAGCAACGAGCTGCTCCGAAAAGTATGTCGAGACGAAGTCCAAACCAAGTATGGCGACAATAATCTGATTTAAAAATCTTCAACAACACTAAAATTTAAGGTGATCCTGCCATTTCAAAAATAATGAAGCCTTAGACGTATTACTCTACCTGTATGAGGCCAATGGTTAACGTTAACGCGGTGGTAACTTCAATGGCTTCATATCTGTTCGCAATCATATGCGGAACATTGCTTATGTTCTCCATTGAAACATTACCACCTTCATCTGCATCTGTCAGCCTATAGACTGTCTGCCCTGTCATTAGTGCGACAACTGCGAACGATCCTTAAATGATTGGAGATAAGTATAAAGCGTTCGCTTGGCAATCCTCTAGGCATCAGTGTCCTTCTCCTACCAGATAGGTTTGCTACCAATCTTCTGAGCTTGAAATGTTGGCGGGAGGATGTTCCGCTCAGCGCGTTGAGTTGAACGAATAACCACTTGTATATTACAGATCCCCTCTACTCAATGCGCTAGACGAGCCTATATTCTTTATTGGTATGAAGAACAATCACTGTACACTATAAATGAGGAAAAAGGAAAGGAATTTCTCCTTCAAAAGGTGGAAATCCCAGACTGGTGGAAGACGTTTCTCACGGCCATTTTGCCCAAAACGGATAATCGAAGAGACCTTTGTAATTGTTGTCTTGTACACTTGTTGAGTGCACTCTGCAAGTTCCCTCACGAAGATCAATTCTGTCGCACAAATCAAAGACGTTGAATGAGGCACAAACATTTGAGCAAGCCGAATTTCAACAGAGATTTTGTTACATGGACCACATCCAAACAGTGCTCAGGTCCATAAAATTTTGTTGGGAATGCCACCCACGCATAGTCCTGACTTTTGTCGAGTATGAAAAAGCGTTGAACAGTGTCGAAACAAATGCAATCCTATCAGCTCTCGTCGAGTGGACCCGTCCCAATATATATGTATATATATATATATATTTATATATATGAGAAAAAAGTAAAGTAGTAATAAATGACAACAAATAAATAGTAAATGAATGAATAAATAAATAATAGTAAATTATATTTTGGAGACGTAGGACGGTGTTATTGAAATTGCAGCACAAGGATACAGCTATTCTATCGACCTCTAACAATACCCATAAAAAGGAGATCGCCAAGGCGACAAAATGTCGCTCCAAAGCTGTTTGGAACAAGAAAAGCATATGTATTGACGGAAAATTCCTTTGAAATCCTCACTTCGCATACGACACCGTCATCCTTTCAAGAAATACTAACGAAGCAAACACGATGTTGAATGAGTGAGAGCCGGGAAAAGTAGTCAGACTGCACGAAAACCTTAGGATGGCCCAGTTCATGAAAAGCCTATGGTGTGAAGGCAAACAGATCAAACTAGGTGGTTCATTGATTACGGAGAGCATTTCCTGCTTCTACATTCGGCATTCAATGATCACGGAAAACAATATAAACATCTTGTAGTAACTCCCAAGTCCGACTTTCTATTAACCTCGGCAAGGATTGAATAGGCTTTTTAGGTGTTATTTCAATAACACCTCGGCAAATAGCCGTTTTTAATGGCTACAAAACCGTAGCTCGAGATAGGTGTAGAGGAAAACACAGGTACCCCAACGATAACATTAGCGACAACAAGGTCCCGTTTATACTGCCCTTCATTTTAAATGAAATAAGTGCAGCTATAAAATGCTGTTTAAGAAGGGCCAGTCTAGAGAATTCGGTAACGATAATCGAAATACCACCGAGTAATCTAAGGCGCCAGCTAGTTTGTAACCGCCTATACGACCGTCTATGTGCAACGCAAAATTGCATAATATGCCCCAATGGTAGAGACGGTGACTGCATGAGTTCGGGTACAGTCTATCTGATCTCTTGTAAGGCGTGCGGGGACGAATACGTTGGCGAAACGGGTAGACCACTCTGCGTCCGCATAAAAGAACACCTATTCGGCAAACGTAAGCCAAGCACTCCACTAGGTACGCATAGCACGCAGAAACATAACGGAGAAGATTTTGAAGTAAGGGTTACGATCCTCGCGCAAGAATCGAGAACACAAGCGCGCAAAACTCTAGAGGCATTCTGGATTAATTCCAAGAATCCGAAAATGAACCGCAGGGAGGAATGCCTCGTTATCACGCATGATATTGGGCAGTATATAAGCCTGTTATTCTGATGGGAGAGGCACATTACGCTTCCATGTGAATTTGGTGCGGTCGGTCTTCACGCGACATACTCAGTGGAGGACTCATAGAAAGCAGTGAGTGTGCAGAGCTATGCTAAATATGATTGAAATCTTGGTTTAGCGTTTTCTCTGTTTGGTTATGGAGGTGTTTGGCCGAATGGATTGCTGTCAAGTTGACCCTTCCAGGTTCTGAGGAAGGCGAAATCCGCCGAAACGTCAGCTTGCGCGTAAATAAAGAAATAAAATAGCACCTCGTGTTTGCTGAACAGAAGTAGAAAGATATATACATATAAACAATTCAGAGAAAAACGGAGCAGCATGAGCCTCATTTGGGCGTCGTAAGAAAGCCGCTCACCCGCTAGCGGATCTATGATTAAGAGCTCACCTTGTCAACTCAACACGGAAGAAAAGAACAGTGGTGCGGCCTCTAAGAGGATGCAATGCAAGCGTCTCTTTGAACCACCACCCAAACGATCGGCGAGCTTATTCGTGGCTAACATCAACATATGCATTAGCAGACGGAAACCATTTTACGAATTCAGAATGGACGTCATCATGTTCGGAGCAAACCACCACCATGGACAACGGGCATGCAGGAAAAAAAATTGGAAGTTGTGCTGAGGTCCACATTGCCAATGAAAATGGGTCTTATAAGTAGTTAACCAAAGATTTAGAACCACTGTGTTCCACTGGAAGACCATTTTTAGGAATAAAGTTTTAGTTAGGGATTCTAGTTTCTATGGGCGGAAATAAGAACAGTTACCGATGGAAGCGTGACGAGAAGTGCCGAATAACATATAGGCAAGCACGGGAAAGAACGATGTGTAGAGACCAACTGCTGGGTGTACACCGGCGAGTATAGCATAAGCTATGCCTCAAACATTCAACTGTTAGGTAAGAAAGTGTTTATTGGAAATAGTCCTTTGTGCATTTACCTTGTGGTACATGCATAATACCAACCATAAAGCCTCCAACTGCATCTGGGAGCAAGTTCTGGTAGATGTTGTACCTAGATAGAACATTCCACAGCTTTCTTAGGCTTCTAGGATTTATCATAGAACATCAGTCGGTTATGTGCACTTACTTTGGAAGCCAATGTAGTACTGGAAAAAAAGATAGCAGAGAAACCCAAAAGTCGTTACAGCTCCTGCATGGTTGATAAAATCGACTTAAAAGACTTGTCGTCTTAACGACAAATTTATTTTCCAATTCTGGATCACAGCATTTGAAGAATTCGTCGAAGTCTGCCTGAATGAGAATTTATGTATTTAACTACGATTTTTGATGTTTAACGTTTTTGTTTTCCGTCTTCTATAATTTTCATGGCAGGTTACTAAGCGAAATACAACCACAACGTTGCTGAGATATTTGCAAAACTCTGGACCGCAGGTGTACGATTTTTGACTTCTGAGTACCCTATACTCGCTAGGTTGGAGGAAGAAGGCAGAGGTCACAGGTACTATGAGACACACAAGTAGGGTCATCGGCTCGATCCTGTGGCAGGGTTTAAGCAATCCATTTTTGCGGTATCGATGAATTGGTACCATGCTTAGCTAGGAAGACAAAAAAGCTGAGTTCGTACACTGTCAAACTCAATTAAGTTATTGTATTGGCCAAATATGCACTCAATCACCTCTGCGATTCCATGAAGTGAGTGGGATGCATGAAGCCTCCCTAGTTTACCAGTGCCGAGAGGGCGTTAAGCCTTTGAGAGCTTTACATTTTTTTTTAGAACACCAGACCTTTACATGTTACATGCTGCTTTAGTTCATTAGACGAAGCCATTAAAATGTCATTTACAGAAAATTATATTACAGAGCGAGAAATGCTACTGTATCTAACCTGATCCATGGGTTTTCGCTCCGTAAAATCGCATCTCTGAGTGGATTCCGATGAAGCTGAAGAGGTGGAGACAGAGATGGCCGCTTTCATTGTTGTGTGACGTTATTCTAAAAACGAAATCTATATAAGGATAAGTGAATGAGCTTTTCAAGAACTATTATAATGTGAAAGCCACACCATTATTTCTTAGTGATAGAGTCGACTGAGATCTATAGAGTAGCAGACGAACTGCCCAATGCTCTACCTCATACTTCGACCTTCCCAGTCGACCTTCATCCCTCAATTTAAAGAATAGCTGCATTTATGAGCTACTAGAAAACTTTAAACCAAAGCGTTGACACAGAATTCGTTCGAGTTCATTTTATTATTAGAGCGAGCTCATAAAACAGAACAAATGTCAGATTCTAGTTCATTAAAGATAGACACAAATTCATTTGAGCAGTAGTGAGTCAAATTAGGTCAATCGATTCCAAACAGGAAAGAGAAATCATTGAAGTCCAAATCTCAATCCTCCGTTCATATTTTAAAAAAGGATAAAGCTCTCGACGTTGATCATTCTCTGAGGGATGTGTCATGCATTCGACTTCATTAAGCATCGTTTGGAGGCGATTGAATGCATATCTGGCCTTTACAATGACTCCTGGTGGACTGCCGATGTATCGGGCCAGCGGTGTTATGCTCCCAGACAAGTCTGGTACCAGTTTGCCGACCCCGGAGGGAGGGAATGCTTGGTGCACCATGGGCGCAGGGATCGATACCACATCTGTGTTGTAGAGCACCTCCGACCACTGTGCCACACGCGCCCGTTTGTTCAAATTACTACGTTACAAAGGTCAGTAGCAATGCTTCTCATTGAAGATTTTAATCAATTAGTAGTTTGACAGATCAAAATGAATGCGATAGGAGTGGAAGCCATTTCAGTGGAAATATAAAGCAGCAGAAGACACGCTTCATCTAAAAAATGCCTGTCGCTATCTCGAAGCCAATTCTTGTCTCTCAAATCGGTTATGGGGAAACAGCTTCAGTAGTTAACTAGTTAGCTGGAGATGGTGAGTGACGGAATCATCGCTAATAACCGCATTTGTAGCGCTAATACCTTGATATTGATTGCGCTTTTCCTTCACCTTCTTGTTATTCGAGAAGAACGGCACAAAGATGACAGCTAACTCAAAGCTGATGTGTAGATCTTGCCCCTACATGACAGAGAGCAACTATTTCCTTGAGAAAACTTGTGATTGGCTTTAGAAAAAGAATAATTTTGACAATAAAAAGTTCTGCTACTCTCCATAGCATCTTTTGTTCACCTACTCATCGAATGATTCGCAAAGTCTCCTCTATAACCTCTTCGTTTGACCCAGTTGCGTTCCGAAGCCACCCAGTAGATTGCGCTCGTTTATGGGCTCGAGGAACACAATTTACTAATGTTCAGGCAAGGATACTGATCGCAGGTCATCAACTTAGTTTTACTTTCGAATTCGGTCTACCACTTATTGGGGTACTTCTATCACCACCCTCTCTGTAGCTGATTCGACAACATAAGGGGAAATCCTGGCAGCCACGGAGACTGATGCTCTCAACCCTTTCGTCATATCTGTTCATTTTAAATGATTTCGCGAAGTTGCTTATCCTATTGAATTCCTCAGCACGATAAACGTAGAACGTGAATAGATTAAGTAGAGGTATGATCTTTACTCAACTCTTCTGTGACCATCCTACCTTCGTCTCAATGACATCGTAGAGAAATAAAGTAATAATTAAAGGCTTCGAGTGAAAACACATCCCAATTTGTACTGCTCCATCCAGCAGAGCTTTCACAGTCCTTATTCTGCATAACCCTGCTATGTGAGAGTCTTTTTAGGGCTGTTGTACTAATTATATTTAATGCTTACTCTATGCTCGATGCTGCTATATTGGCATCGTCTCAAAAGCTCTCTGAAAACTAACAATGATTCGATTTTTGATGGTGTCGCCACTTCTAGATCTTTCTCGACGTTTGTGGGCTTTCCTTCGCTTGACGAAGAAAGCAATCTTGTGCAAAGAAGGTCCTCTTCCAACTTCATTTCTACCACGCAAAAACAGTTAGGAGAAATTTTTGAACTGAAAATAATCCGCACACTTTGATTATTTTTTGACCGACCAAGCAAATCATTCCGCCCGTAGCTGTATTATGAACTCGTACTATAGCTTGAATAGTAAGACGTATAGGCAGCGGATAGCACAGTGGTAGTGATGTCCATCATCACGGCATTGGGCTAGTACGTCTTCGCTCCTGGCCAGCTAATCCAGTCTCTCATCCCTCTGAGATCGGAAAATTGGTCCCGGACTTCTCTGAGAAAAAATCACTCTCTGCAATCCAATTAGGAACGCTCCAGCCCAGCTATCTCAGGGCTCCAGGAAGAATTGCTCGCCCAGCATTTTACGACATTCAAGACGAACTGAAAATCCTCAAGCAACAACCGAAACCGCACACAAACGTTGGAAGATCTTCGTGAGCAATGGATGCGAGGAAACGAATCGAATGTGAGAAATACTAGGAGGCGCACAGTAGACGTGAAGACGGGTCATATAAATAAATAAACGACAAATAAATAAAATAAGACATATAAGGGAACAGTGTAGCTTCCCAAAGATGTAACTGTCGTGTTATCAAGGAAAGAAAGTGGAGAAAAGATATAAAGGAAATAAGATAGAAAACATCGCTGAGACTGATACGAAAACACGAATTTGAGACTATTTGTGCCGCACTTCAGCGAGAAGCTATGGAATGAATTCGTGGTGGTTGAAATTGAAACAACAAAACAGAGGAGAACAGTGATAAAAGAGAACAGGAGAAGACGTCATGTGTCTTTTGTCCGTGGTGACGAGTTCTTCTATGGTTCACGATGAACACTTTTCTTTTAATTCGATTCGACACCAAACAAAGTGCGTGTCGGGATTCTTTGACCCAGGAAATCATCGGATAGACCGGATAAATATATGAATTCACTAACGAGGGAGGTATATGAAGATATGAAGACGAAAGAAGAGATTAAAATCGTTGAGTCATGTCGATTAGGTGAGTTAAAAGAGGAGAAAAAACTTGGGAAACGCTTCCTTTTTTCCGACTTCGCGCAGTCAAATCGATTCTGGCCGAAGCACATCCCCGCAAAAATCCAGATAAATGTTCCGTCTACGCCAACATTTGTATGAAATATCTGATTTTATTATAAGGTAAAGTTTTCAGACACTTTTTTTTAAGATATTGTTAACAATATTTCTAGTTTAGCGCTATAAAAAAGCAAAAAAGCTAATTTTGAAAATTTTTGAAAAGAGTTTAATTTGAGCTTAAACGCGAAGTCACAGAATCTTTTCGCAATAGCAGGGGTTCACTTTGAAAACCAGCCATTAACAGTCCGTTTGCTACGACGTCGGTATCAGAAGTAACTTAATGGAGACCTGCCCTCGATGAAGAGAAGCATCGAGTGACGACCTCATCTCATCTGCGATGAGCAAATCAGGATACCGACCGGAAGAGATGCACAAACAATATTTGAAAAGCTTTCATGGGAATGAAAGCCTTTACATAAAGCAGAAATTTCGGAGTAGTTGAGCTTAAGGATTCAAAAAAGCACGTAACGCTATGAAATCATCGTTTTGCAATTTACTCTCCAGCTTTCTTAATTCGGTAGAAACGATTCATCTCTCGATCTGATGTGTGATGTATGACTAAAAATAAATTCTTTGGGAACAGTTGGTGATATTCGAAGAGAGTTCGAGCAAGGCCGAATTGGCGAAATCCTTCCTGAAGCACTTTGCACTATAAGACCACGATATTGTATTTTTTTTATTTCAATAAGAGCTCTGGCAATGGGACAGCGACTGGCACCAAATCTTGCCATTGCGTTTATGTCTAAGGTGGAAGCGCTAGTAATCGACCTCACTCCGTTGCTCTACTGTAGACATATAGATGACTGCTTGGTCATTTGTTCAACACAAGAAGAAATTGACAAACGTTTCGAGTTGTTGAACGAACAGTCACAGTATATTAAATTCACACGAGAGAAACCAAAAGAAAAATGGCTTCCATTCCTGAACGTCCAAATTAGCCTATCAGAAAATGGCTACATTACGAAATGGTACCGAAAGCCAAGCAGTAATAACATCTTGATACCTCTCTTCTCATCCCTCTCACACGAAAACTGCGCTTATAAGAAACATGTTTCGAACAGCAACCAACGTGTGCACAGGAACAGAGCAGAGAGAGGAGTCCCCGAACTTGGCACGGCAAATAGCCATTTTCAATGGCTACGAAAATGTAGCTCAGCATATGCGTAGGGAAATTCGTAAACTCCAAACGACAACTCTAGCGATAGAAAAATCTCGTTCATCCTATCCTTTGTTTCAAATGGTGTAAGTACATCTATAAAACGCTGCTTAAGAAGGGCGGGTCTAGAGAATTCGGTAAACGTAGTTGAAATGCCACTGAGTAATCTTAGGAGCAGCCTATATGACCGCTTAGGTGCAACGCAAAATTGCATAATTTGCCTTAATGGTAGAGACGATGATTGCATGAGCTCGGGTATAGCTTATCTGATCCCCTGTAAGGCGTGCGGAGACGAGCACATTGGCAAAATGGGCAGACCCCTCTGTGCCCGCATAAAAGAACACCTAGTCGGCAAACGTCTACCAAATACCCCACTAGGCACGCATGGTACCCAGAGACATAACGGAGAAGACTTTGAAGTACGTGTCACGATCCTCGCACAGGAACCGAGAACACAAGCGCGCAAAACTCTGGAGGCGTTCTGGATTAATTCCAAGAATCCGAAAATGAACCGCATGGAGGAATGCCTCGTTATCACGGGTGATATTGGACAATATATAAACCTGTTATTCTGATGGGGAGGGCACATTACGCTTCCATGTGAGTTTTGTGCGGTCGGTCTTCACACAACACACTCAGTGGAAGACTCATAGAAAGCGGTGAGTGTGCAGAGCTGTGTTCAATGTGATTGAAATTTTGGTTCAGCATTTTCTCTGTTTGGTTATGGAGGTGTTTGGCCGAATAGATTGCCGTGAATTTGATCTTTCCAGGCTCTGAGGAAAGCGAA